CAATGGGTGTTGAAATTAAAATAGAGTTTTCATTAATTTGGAAATTCCAAAGAAATTAATTAATTGGGAATTTTAAAGAAAAAATCCCAACAATTGCTCCATTTAATTTCAAGTTAAATCACCATGTCGTGACTATTTTTTTCTTAAAATATAGCCAAGTGTTCCGTAAATCAAACATATAAAAAGTGCAAACACTAATGTGGTTTAACGCACAGGACAGTATCTTAAGTTCCATAATGAACTCAATTCAATTAAACACTTAGCTATCAGTGCTCAAGGGTGTGCATTCTTTGGTCAAAACCAAAAATTCGAACCAAATTAGGCTAATTTGGTTTGGTTAAAAAATAGTCATTCGGTTTTTGGTTTTGAAAATTTGAATATTCGATTTTTTATTTTCAGATCAGTTTTAATATTTATTAAACCAAAAAAAAACTGAAAAATAGAATAATATTAGAATTAGAAAATTAAACTCATTTGAAAAGAAAATAAAATGAGCAGTTTGATTTTTTTTTAATTTTAAAGAGATAACGAAAAAATAAAAAATAAAATTTAAAATTTGAAATAGAACCTTTGTTTTTAATTATTTTGGTTTGAAATCGAACCAATGCTAAATTTCGGTTTGCTCCAAATTGAACCGATTGAACCAAAGTACATTTCGGTTCAGTTTGGATTGGTTTTAACAAAAGTTTAGTCATTTTAATTTCATTCGGTTGAGTAGTTTGTGAACCATTCAATCTAAATTAACTGTTTGTACACCCCTATCAGTGGTTAACCATATAATTCAAGTTTCAGATGCATTTAAAAAAAAAAAACAGATAAAAGGCACTCACAAGTTTTAATCTATTCAAGTCCTCTATTTCAGGATGTCTGCCCTTACTAAAAATGCTTCTCACTTCTTCTCGTGCCTTCATCTGCCAGTCTCGATGAACCGCTAGAAGAAGTATAGTCCAAGTTAATACATTGGCTGTCGTCTCCTTCCCAGCGAAGTAAAATGTTTTGCATTCATCAATGATCTCCTGAGTTCCAATCTTATCTTTTCCTTCCTTCTTGTTAGCAGAAATCATCAGCCCAAGTAAGTTTTTAGTATCTTCACATTTCTCTGCATTGTTCTCAATCAATCTCTGCAATGAATCCTGAATTTCCTTGTTCAATCGCCACCTTTTACGATTCATAGCTGTTGGTACAAACCTGTAACAAAAGGAAAATGAAAACAAAAGCTGAGGTAGAATAGATGGTTTACTTACATACCACCCAAATCTTATGTATTTACATATCTAATTCACAAACTGTAGTTTTTACATTCATACCATCCAATCTAAGCAGGAAAATGTGTACTCATCCTTTACAAATTAAAATAGTTGTATTTTTTATGTGATGGGAAAGATTTTGGTGATATAAGAATAAAAGGTAAAGTTTAATTGTCAGATATATAAACTCATAGGAACTGGATGGTATGTATGTAAATGCCCCTATCATATAGGCATTGCTATAAAATCTCACCTGAAACCTGGGATGTACACGCTTCTCAAAGCAAGTGAAACAAGAGGCAGCAGTTCTTCTTGCAGTTCGAAAATTCTCTTTCCCTCCTCATAGTTGCTGCCAAATGCAACACAAGAAATTACATCTGCTGAAAAATTGTGGCATTCCTTGTGAACATCGATTTCAAACTGAGAATTTTCGCCGCCTCGTGTCTCCCATTTGTTTAGCATGTTTGCAGCTCTTATGGAAATTTCAGGTATCCAAGACTAGAATAAAAATTAATGGTTTTAGATGATAAAGGAATAAGTTCTGATTTCTGATGGATAATATTAAAAAATTATACAAGGCATGTGTATGAAGCAGTGTTGGACTGATGAGACATAAAAATATATAAACATTATAGATTCAGTATGCTTTTATGAGCACTGTTTTTTCTGTTTTAGTTTTTATTTTCATCAGAAAAAGCGAGCGTTTTAAGATTTGAAAAAATAATGTAGGAGGGCCCAATTGCATTAATTAGATTGAAATAAAATACAAGAATGTGAGTAATAATTTGATGTGTTTGGTTCACCCTCAAACTCCCACTTTATAGGTTAGAGTTGAGGCACAAAATTATAGGAAATGCTACATTTGAATAATAGAAGTAAACTTACATAACAAGGCTTAACAATTATCTATTTTAAAATGAATAAGTTCAAGTGAAGTTGTTGCCAACTTTACTTAGAAGTGGCGAGTTCAGATAGAGTGTTGAACGGCTTCACTCCAACCTCTAAAGTAGCATTGAATCTTGGGCAATTTTGCTTGACTAGTTGGGTGAATGGGTTTGAAGTTTGGGCAAGTTTAATTGATCCAGCCCAATAGTCTGTGACTGTAAGTAATCTCAATACCATATGCCGAGTAAGAACTTTGTTGAATGCAGAAAGAATATGTCTAATAACATTAATAACTTGAATTCCATGGCATAGTCATTACACAGCCTAATATTTTTCTTTGTTGTGAAGTAATCCTAATTGATTGATCAACTTGCCTTGAACTCAATCCATTGTGATCAATAATTGTTGATGTATTTTGCCTAGATGATATTTGTATTTTTATTTTGTTCAATGATTATTTTATCTCCTTAAAAAACTCCACAAAAGATAAAAGAAAATAAAAAATTCTACCTTGATATGCTAAGGATTTGGTTGTAACTGATTACATGGATTTGACAACACTTTCGTGCATATCAGCAAAATGGCATTTATAAAATTTTCGTAAATTGCTGTCTATGAGAAGAAGAAAAAAATTAGGGAGCACAAGAATAGAAGAAAAGTGAACTAGTTGGCAAGATGCTCTCTAAAAGTGATCTTCTTTGAAAAACTCTCTCACGAAACATATTAGTTATGATCCCTTTTTGTCGGCATCATCTTGTATTGAAATGATAGGAGACTTCTTCATGATACTTTCATTGTGCCTAGTTAGTTGAGAAGTTTTGATGTTGAGTAAGTTGTTGACTTTTTGAAGTCGGCCACTATTGAAGGATAAAGTATGCTGATGTCACCTTTTGAAGTACTAGCTCGATGAGTAGTGAGAGGTTAGTTGATCCTATGGATCAAGCTGAGATTAGATGATATATTAAAATACCGACTTCAAATTTAACAACTATGAAAGCAACCTTTTCAATTCATCATGTAAGGACCTTGAATCATTGAAAAAATGGCAATCTCCCTTCAAGATGACTTGGAGCTTGAGAGATTGTAGACTACTAAAACTTTTTGAAGAAGCTAAAAGTATTTGCTTAAGCAACCCGATGGATAAGTTAGTTGACCTCTATAGTTTCCATGATATTGCTTTAAGTCAATCCACAAAGTATGTTAGGCGAGAAGTGAAAGAATTAAATGATGAAATCAACCCTTTGAGAAAACTTGCTACATCTCCTCATACAAGTCAATACATTAGTGGCATTATGGTCTTCCTTCATCACTTGATTCGATGCAGATTCATCTCCAAGGATTATTCTTTCCCATTATCCAAGTGTTACTAAGAGAAGCAATGTATTTGTTATTTTCGAATTTAATAACTCTCCAATGCGTTCAAGTCCTACAAATTATTTTTTTTTTTTTTACTTGCACCCAAAGAAAAAAATTCATTGGAAACATGTAATTTTATGTTTTCTTCCATGTAAGAATTGTTTCAATAAATAATTTTTTTATATATATATATAAAATCTTTGTGTAAACTTTGTCAAAAAGACTATTGTAATATGGGTGACTCCTGGAATTTTGACTTTGGATAAGTCAGTTAAGATGTCGAACTATGTATTGCTTCAAACCCTGATGTAATTTAATATATGTTTTTATTTGATTTCCTTAATGACTGAAATGGTATCAACTTGGATTTGAAATCATTCTCTCTTTAGTTTGCTCTTCAGCAAAACCATTATTTTTCTCTCTTTATAGTTATGGATCTCCTTAGTTGCTTGATGAATTTTGTAAAAACAAATCGGGAATACCAATTCGTTAATTAGAGTATGAATTAGTGAAAATTTTCTCAATCTGACTTTCCTACGTTCAGAAAGTTCCCAAACTCTCGTAAGGATGACAAATTATGCTTCTATCGAAATCAACTTTAATTTGACCCAGGATTAACTTCTTCTCAGAGTTGGCCGGATTTTGGATTTCTATCACTTAACTTCAGTGTAGTTGGTGCTCAATTCCCTTATTAGATTGATTTCTTATGTCACCTTTTTACAAGAATAAAAGGCAATAAAGTGCTTAGATGTGTTTCGGCTTAAGCATACCATCAAAAGCTTCAAAAAGGGCATTGTTTACATTACCGCAGGATATATAATAATAATAAGTTTAAAGAATAAAATAAAAGATTGGAAGAAGTATTTATTCACTGAGACGGCCAAAGAATGGTCGATTAATACTAAGTTTAGTAATATTTCGAAGAGTAAACAAAATGCATCATTGCTTTATGAAGCATGTGCTAATATATTTATGAACTTACCAAAAAATCAACTTGACTATGTAACCCAAATCTCAAAGTCTTCCATCAATGAGACTATCATTTTCAATGCATCTTCAAAAGGCAGGTCATTTAGTAAGTTTATTACAATTTACTTTCATATTTTTTTTTATAAATTTGTTTAATTTGTTCATTTATCTTTTATTAGTTTTTTTTTTATTTATTTTTTATTTTATTCATGGAGACTCTTCATTTGTTCAACTTAGGCCAAGCTAGGAAGACAAACTCAGATGATCTTCTGGATGACATACCAAAACAGTTTGCCAAATTATCTCCCAAAAAGAAGAGGCAAGTTGTTCTCAACAATGAAAAAGAGAAGTTCATAAAAGATGACTTTGGTTTGAGTTCACAACAAGACATCCAAAAAAAAAAAATTCATGTTTATGTCTCAAAATATATAGTACATCTATAAAGAATAGCAGTAAGAAGTCGACTCATGAGCCTAATAGAGCAGATAAAGAAAGGGAGAAAGTTTGTTGTTTTTAATGTGCTTTGTTACAAGTCAATTTCTATGATAGCAAAGGAAAGTTAGCATTTTGATGGGGAAGAAGAGATTGAATAGCGATAATGCTAGCATTGACCCGCTTTTGCCCAAGAAATGATTGAATCCTACATTTTGTTTAGTCTGGCTTGTTATATTTTCTTTGAAACCACACAAATATCTTAAAAATTTGTCGCTAGATGATTTACATACGGTAGTGATGAGGAGGCTTATGTGAACTTGACAGAGTTTTTCTTTGATAAATAATAATCATATGGAGGTAGTTATTTAAAACATTGACTTGAAAGGCCAATTTGGTAGAGTTTGAAGAAAAAGGAGTATATCTAAAACTTGCATGAATAAGGACATTTTTCTGAACAAGGCCTCGAATGAGAAGGATACTTCTTGTAAAGAATTCAGCAAGCTAATGTAGACTTGGGAGGCCTGAAGAAGAACTTTGAGCAAGTGATGATTAACTTAAAAATCTTAAACTGCCAAGTAGTAATCTAAATTCAAAAGCCTGATTAATAACTTCAAATGTACTCTTGTCGAGTCCGATTTCTAAAAGAAAGAGCTAGCTTACTCACTATTATTATTTCAAGCTAGAAATGTTAAGGGATCCTTGAAGAAATTTCAAAAGGGCAAGTCAAAATCAACATTCAAGCCTTTAATGTTGTTATTAACGATTTTATTGAATCTAATGAGTGAAAGGACAAATCAAGAATAAACATCAATAAAGAATCATCTTTTGCTTGATGGTTTTGAAGAATATGGCACCATCAACCACTATGACAAGACTTAAACTGCTTCTATTTTAATGCCTTAAATCAATTAAGAGACAAAGAATTATCTAAAAAGGATAAATGATGATTGTTGACCACTTGTAGCTTTTCCTCTTTGCTTTGGTATAAGTCCCTTCTAGACAACTTACAATTTATGAATTATAAATGAAATAATTTTACTTGAATTGTTTTTTCTTTGCTTTCTCTCTATTGTATAGTTCAAATAGCTAAATATAAGTCAAATAAAAAACTAATTAAGTGAATGCTAACTTAATAGTTACTAATCTTCTATATTAACATTTAATAAAAAAACTAATTAAGTGAATGCTAACTTAATAGTTACTCATCTTCTATATTAACATTTAATAAATTGTCAGGTAAATAATTACAAATAAATTACCAAGTAAATAATATAAAAGTAGACCGGATACAAATATTGTCGATAAGTTTAATTTGGCCTTTTTTCTTAATGTAGACAAACAATTTCATTGGATACATCAAACCTTAAGCTAGATATTTCATCTTCGTGAGGATAATCATCTCGAGACTAAGTTCACTTGAACTTTTTTTTTTTTTTTTGCCCCCCAAATACATAGGATTTTAATGTGATTCTTGGATTGTGCACTTTTGAGATAAATCTAGATTATCCAAATAGGGCATGGATACTTTGTCGATTAAAGAAAAAAATAAATGTTTTAGTTTAAGAGTTACCAAATAGCCAAATTCTTGAATTACCACACTAACAAATATAAACATCGTTGAATTGCTAAATAGGCGGGACTATAGTTTACATGCTTCAACAAAATTTAACTTGACTGAAACTCACGCTTCATTATGATCCCAAGTTAAAGTGCTTAGCTAGATGTGTAGCATTTAGGATTCTAAGGCTTTTTAAATGCAATTCATCAACATTTCTTGTATTAAAATTGAAGTTTTACAAATTCAAATTGAATAAATGAGTATTAAATTGAAATTTGAATCTTTCGATAATTTT